ACAACAGGGAGGAATTATTTTCTGTGTAAGTTGTAAAGACAGCGTTGTTCATCAACAAACTAGTTTCGCAATGACAAGTATCTACATGTCTCGTTTTTATGATCCACCGCTCGTTAGAAGTAAAATAAATTTTTAAGAAAATGAAGGTGCAGACCTGACATATAGAAACGGCTAATGGAACAACACCGTAGCAAGGTTCGGCGATTGCGTGCATATGGATGTTCACACGTGCACATGTACTTATGTGCGCTGGGAATCACGATTTCTGGTTTACAAACGGGAATGGTTAATTCCATTGCACTTTGAATTTCAACTGCTAAGTGCATGATAAACGATACCGTGAAACGTGGTAGCTATTCACGCTGTCCGTATGTACCCTATTCGATGAAAATATCAGATTATATGTAATTTATATACCATTCATGAGTTTTCTATACTATCGCATCGTTCAAAGTTGTGGCAATTGATTGGACTTTCTAGCTGCTCCAATGCTTATAAAGGATTCATGTACTCCTCTTTAAAATTTTGAATTAGAATCAAATTCATTTTAAAATCATTTCAACATAGGAAAACGTTTCTAGCATGTAAAAGGGTATACTAAGGACAAGTTAAGAAATTAATCAAAAGAATCATGGACGATTGTGAGAATAATGATGTCTCTCCGGGATATATACGCCTTTTTTCTCATATTTGTTGCGTTTTAATTTCAATCCGATTTTCGCAACATCTCTAAATGTTCATTACAGAACATCATTCAACATCAAACATCATTCAACAAAACTCTAAATGTTCTTTACAGTAAGAAAAATATGATTCAACTTGCTTAAAGAGTACAATTGTAAGAATTTTGTATCCCCGTGTAGCGAAATCTTAACATTTCCCCCCTTGGAGCTTAAGCCTCTGAATTCGATTCTTCAGGGGACACTTGATATTTGGACACATAATCCTAACAATTAGCATCACACACAAAGACACTGATTTCCGATCGTTCTCAACTTCGAGACCAGCGCATCGAGACCGCTATGTCGTAGAATTCTAGTTCCGGCACTGACATTATCGAGAACGAATATTATTAGGCCTGTTATCGGGGTGCGCGCTCTGCGTCAGACTTAAGGCAACAATGCATAACTAATGCTAAAGGCGTCACTGTATCCCTCGACACCATTTATTGCTCAAGCGTTTGTATTACACATCATATAACGAACTATTTCTTCAACTTTCAATGGAGGGCGTAAGAGAAATATATGTACAAATTAGTAGGGCATACTCTGAGACGAAAACTGAATTAAAATTCCACAGCACAAGACACTTCGCACTATTCTGCGTCGTTGTGCAGTTGAAACAGATGTCATTTTTTAAATATACTCTTTTAAATTATTTTTTATTAATATTAATAAAAAATCTGTAATACATATTTTATTTTTTGTAAGAGAGCTGATGGTGCTTCTCGCATGCGGAACACAACGAAACCTTCAGAAAACTGGACACATAACAAGCTCTACCGACTGCTGGACACAGGAGAATGAGCGGTTCGTATCGTTGTTAGGGACCTACGTAGGATTTCAGAGGCGGATAAGGCGCGCTCTGCCCCCCCCCCCGCCCTATACTGCGAAAGCAAGCTAGCGAGATCGATCGATAATACAGAGCGTTTTTTCCCGCTCTACTAACAATGTTGGTTAATTACAGGAACAGTCTGTCTCGAAAATGTCGGGTAATAATGTGAAAAATACTCCTCATAAAATAAGTGTTTATCGATTCCTGCTGTTCCTGTCTCAGGTCACTCTGTTGCCCATTTCTCTCCTTCATTAGTTTTTTAAAATCAGTTTATATATTTTATTAGTCTCTGTTACATTTGCAGTAAGTTCGAGATCGGCTTACTGTACATAAATGCGGTATTAGGATTTTCTTCTCATGTTGTCTTGCACTTTCCTCAGAATGCGTTTGTGGACTCAGTAGAACGCCGCTGTCATTTCAAGCGCCCCTCATTTTGCCCATCTGCGTTCCCGCCACCCTCTTAAATCACTCTCCCTTTCTTTTCTCATCTTCCACCTTTACATTTTCAGCTTCCTCTCTTTCTTCCGCACTCCTCCACTCTGCCTTGCCCCGCGCACAGGGTCCTCTCCTTTGCCTCCGCAGCAACCCCCGGCTTATCTTCCCGTCACTTCCTGTCTCCACTGTGTACATCAGGGCTCTGCAAGTGTTGGCCGGATGTGGCTCTCGGAAGGTTTCTGCCTCACAGAGGGTTACATTAATATTCGCTATCCATATTCAGTTTCTTTGAAGGAAGTAAAATGAAACCTCATTAAAGGCAAGCAACCTGATCTTGATAGTGAAAGGAGAGGACATCCTTAGAACTTTTGGAAAATGGACCAATTTATCATAATATGTTTGTGTCAACAATACTAATGAACATTTTCCAAAGAATTAACTTTTATTTTAGAACTGCCAGAAATCTTTATATTTCTAGTAGAACGTGACTGATTCGATTCTTAGCTCTTCACCTAGGTTGTCTGTGTTGTAAATCATTACCGCAACGGCCATTATTACCTTCGCCAACTGCACAGTTTTTCTTTAAATTTTAATGAAATAAATCGAACATTAATTGACTTGTAATGACGCAAAGGACACATCTTGGGATTCCTTACAGTTTTCGCCAATCTCCCAACAATGTCACACTGTATCGATCTAATTTGTTTGTGATCCATAAAATCCAGTTGAGTTTATCTTTTGTTTTTGACCGGAAGCAGGTGTAGTTTTTCTCCTCCCAAAGCATCGCATGCTATTTATACAGCACTTAACTACATGCTATTTATTATACAGAACTTAACTACGTTCTAAGCAAAAACTTTATTTATTGGACGAATCAAAATTTTGTTGAGCTGTAGCGTTATTTTAAAAGAAAAAAAAAGAACGTTCTTCATTTCATTACTGACAACGTATCTCTGTGTCTCTATCCGATGAATTTACTAACCCCTGGATTACATCACGTGCCGTCCATGCCACAGCCCGCCGCCACCTCCACCACCACTGCCACTCGTCTGCCTCCTTCTCCAGGGAACATGATCCCGTGCGCATGCCGGCGCGTGCCCATCGCGTCTTCCTCTCCTCTCTCGAGACGTCGCGGCGACGGCTCGGCCTTTACGGAGTCTAGCCAGTGGCGTGACTGGAACTCGTGCTAACCGGGACGGTCTTCGAAGCTGTCGCCTTCACCAGCAGGCTCCCTATGAAAATGTCAGAGGTCGCTTTTCATTAAAACCTTTAAAATATCGAAAATTACAAACGTTCAACATTGCTGCACCCTTTGCTCCCATTTCTGCACATTGTTGAAAAATGGAGATAAAGATTTTTCGAATGATATCTATTCTTCACAATTAGATCTTGAAATGATGTATACAGGTTTTTTTTCGAAATGGTTGTAATTTATTTGTAGCGAAATTGTGAAAATTAAATGAAAGTAAAGAAGATTTTGTCAGAAAGATTTTCATGGATATTTCCCCCCAATAAAGTGAAATTCGCTTAATAATACGGGATTGATCCACTTTTTTTCAAACCTTGGGAATTTCGAAAAATTGCAAAACTTCAAAATTCTTACTATACCCTCTTACAACTACATTATTAACAATAGGGATTGTTTTCTTAACTCAACAAATTAAACATCATTCAACATTTTTCTCCATTCATCAGTCATTAATCGAATATTGAAGTACAACGCTGTTCAGCTGTTTCTTACGTATACCATCCACCTGATGTGGTGGTTTCGGTATTACGACTTTGACGACGGCTAGGATCCTGGTGCATTAGCTTAGAAACTTAAGCTCCGATTCTGCGGGCCTTAGTAATCATTAATCACTCATTACTCGTTAACCACGGTCCACTATGAACTATCTGCAGTCGTTGTTCGTCGTTCGCCCCTCACCACCCTTCGGGGACTGCCTTCTTTCTATTTTCTCTCCCCTCTTGCTTCTGCCGTATCACTTGTAATCCCCACTATCCACTTCTCCACACAGCATCCTCTTTCGTGGTCCTCTTTGCGATATTCGGCAGTTCCGTTGCCGCCCATTCGCTGGCAGTTCCTCCGGCCATTACATTCTGTGCTTTTGTATCCGGCGGAAAGGAATTAATTATATCGAGCCGGCGCTCGCCCTGTGCTCCGTCGACGGGCACTGTTCCACCGGCTCTCCGGAGCCCCTACTCCCTCACGTCGCCCCCTCCACCTCCGCAACCACCCTCTTTCCTGCACCGCACCCTGTTCTGCCCTTTGCATAGTGTGTGAACCTCTGTCCCCGTCTTCCTCCCGGCCTCGGGCACTCCCCCACCCACTCTCCCACGTCGCGCACCGGCTCTCTAATTAGTTCGCGCGGTCTCCGCTGTTTCTACTGCATTTCCTGTGATAGAACTTGTTCTTGTTCATTCGCCGTTGCACGAGTCCCGCTGTACTCGTTAGCGCATGGCGTTGCGCCGTGAAAACGTAAGAAGGCGGAAAGCAATGGATGCTTCTATTTCTGGACGACGTAACATACCGAATAATGGGGGCGTTCTCGGTCGAACGAAGGCTTGTTTGCGAGCTTTTTCTACAAGACTTGAAAATAAAATTGGAAGTTTGTAATACTGTCTGCTCGTTGAAGCTCGTATGATTTTTCAAGATGTATTGTATCAGATTAGTCCAACAAGTTAATGTCCAGTGGGTCTATACTTTGACACTGGGCATAAGTCGTTTCCATGTTTTCTTTGTGATTCGGCTCGAACATTACTATAAATATTTTTAAGAACCTAATGTTTCTGGACCTTAAGTCATGTTTTATTTCCACGTGAGCACGTGAGAATGAAAGTAATTGTGCACTTTGGATTAAAGCAATCTCTTGATATAATGTACTCTGTTGTTGTCTAATTTTGTCTTGTTACGCAAATTTTTCTTGTTGACTTCTAATGATATTTTGTGTATTTTTAGACTATGGTACAGTGTACGTGCTTTAACAGCTCGTTTGTTTTGCACGTTTCAGGGACCTGGAAGATTCCGCCTCGTTGGACGAGAGCGTAGAAAACCTGGACCGAGGCTCGCTGGCGTCCTTCGGCTCCGGGAACACCACCGACTCCGACAAGGTAGGACCCTGGCCAACGGAATGCACGACGCTGTCTCTTGGCGATGTACTCGCGGCAGATTTTTCTTTCGCTCCATGTTTTCGAGTTTCTACTGAAGGCGATTGTTGCTTCGTGTTCTCTCATCGCGTGATTCTAACGAGTTGTATAATGATAGTGTCGTGAGCACTCTGCCTTCCAGTGAAGATAACTGAACTATTACTACCGTCGCTTTTATTGTTTGAAGTTCGTTTTCTGTTGATACGATATTTTTTATTTATTTTCCCTGTGAGTTCATTCTTTCTTTCCATTTGTATCCATTTGTTCTTTCCTTCACTCCGCTCTCCCATTCTTTTCTATCGTTTTTATTTTCCTGTTCTTTCTTTTTATCTGCCTATTCTTTTTCCACATTATTTTCATCTCTTTACATCCCCATTTACTTTGTCCCTATTTCAACTCCTGATGTGTCAGTACTCGCTGTTTGTCATCATTACCTCCGTTTGTTTCCTTCATGCTCGTGCCGTTCTCCTCGTCTGACAGTCCTGTCCATTGTCTCGCCAGTTTCCATCCCTCTTCGGCCTTTTGCGTGGTCCAAACCCACTGAACTCGCTCTCAGCCTGGACAAACGTTCCCGCGGCACGCCAGTATTGTTCCGACGCCGCTGCCGCCTCCCAGTGGTCCGGGCAGACTTGTCGGCCGGAAAAAAATGTTTAAACTAATCCGTGTATTATTTTGTTTTTGATCTTTTTATTACAGGTCTCCGACAAACTTACGGATACAGATTATTTGATATCTGATAAACTCTATTTTATAGTATTACTGTATGCGCGTTGAAAATTTCGGAATATTAATATACTACAATCGCGCAATTTTAATGTGGTCCTGTTGATTGAAGGACAGTTTCGTGGTAGCATGTTCATTAACAAGGTAACGCACTTTTAGTGAGGATCTGATAGTTGTTACGCTCATTACAACTCATATTTCTACATCAAATTTTTTTTCGCTGATTCTCTACATTTTTTAGAATTGTCATTTCTTCGAACTGATGTCGTTCACATAACATTTCCGAAGAGACGTGTCTTGGTGGAGACTTTCAGTTGGGGGTCTTCGTTATACGGTTAACGACGCGACGCTTATCTCGAGCAAAAAAAACCTACGAACTACGGTTCCTTGTAAGCACCGCTAACAGAACGCATCTATGAACCACCGGGTACCCGCTCTAGATGCCTCGACTATTGTGGTAGTCTTCGAAGAAAACTTTTTAAAACTCAATATCAAGATGCAAAGTCCAAGTATTCGAGAACGTTTTTGGCCTGCGTTATTAAATCGAAAAACCGAATCCAAAAAATTTACATTGAAGATGAACGTTAATTTTGTCATTGCGATTCTTCCGGGACCACTGCGCGCCGTCTCGCCCGCGTCCGCGCCGGGCGCCGGCCTCCCCCAGCACTACTGTCATGTTCG